ATGTGGTTGCATGATGGACTAAGGAAGCGATAGCATCCACAGTGGATCTATCGGTTCATAAACACGTTGTAAGGAGTCGTTGGAACGGTTTATAGATGAAATCATGCTTCTACAAACAACTCAGTAATTGTAGTTGTGACAACAGTATTACAAGGTTTGGTACAGTGACAATAGTGACTGGCCTCCAGCTGTCTGGAATAGAAAACATGGCAAAAGATTTGTTTGAAAGGAAAGTAGGTATATCGGTTAAGGCAGTAGCATCATGTCTCAGGTGTGATAACGATGGGCCCTCAGGTTAGTAAGGCAGACCGGGAGTATAACTTGGGCCTTAAGAGAAACAGAAAATGGTTACTGGTTGAGAGAGGTGCACACAGCTTTACGGAGAATGATTCGGGAGGATGGGAGGTAGTCCTGTCTAAATGGAGTTGTCTATGGTGGGAAAAACACAAAGATCAGTTATATTGAATGCACTGAGATATTGAGTTGAAGCATGATCAAATCCACCTATTCCGCTGTGCAAATTATCATCGTACAAGGAAACAATAAAGGTTATTGAATCATCTAAGAATGGAATAGCGTTCTGAATGCGAAACAAAGCAACGTATAAAATTGTCATAATGGTTGTGTCAGCGCGAGAAAATTAGTGATTGCACTGCTAAACGGAACACTCAGAAGCTATTCATGGACAAAAGAGATTCAACAATAAGTAGGCTCAGCTGTGATTCTTGAATTGAAACCACATAGGAATGGACATGGATAGGACAACGAAGAGCAAGGGTCAGATCCAACATTTTCGAGAAGAGAGGTTGTATAATGACAATGAATACAAACGGGACAGACATCTTTGCTGAAGAGGTGCATTTAAGTGCAGCCTGCCAGCCAGTACCGATGGGTTCTATGGTCGAGAGAGAATGATTTGATATACCTGAGCGAATGATTGAATTAGAGTGAAAATCCCATATTTCTTTTGAGGGAAAATATTTCTGACCGCATATAGCGGCGTAAAGTGATCATAGGGAATGAATGTACCTTATTCGATGGGGTGCCGGTCACCGCACAAGTGTAGCGCAAGCAGTCAAAGGACGACGGTATAGTTATCTCAGTTGAAGTACCTTCGCTTGACTTCTCATATGAATCCATTTATTTAATTCACCTTTTGAATTGCAAAAAACCGTTCATGAAGATCGTAGAATGGTTGACTGTGGCAGATCTTATATGTGGCAATGAAGCATACACTGGGATATATGATGGCTGAGCCCCAGAATTCTCCCAATCAAGAAGTTGCTGTGGAAAAATATATCAGGTTTCAGAACATGTCTGTGAATAACTTCAGTCACGTATATATGGAAGTAACTGAACAAGTTGTAGTCAGCGTCATATACTGATATTCGTGCTCAAATCGATGAGCAAGTTTGTGCCCAGAACCTCAATAAATGAGACATTTTATGACTGAATATCGGTATCCCTACCCGAACGGATCTTATACACAAACAATCTCATTTCTTTCCTATTTGATGACGGATTCTTCTTATATCTTCATTATACGGGTACGAAAATAAGTCAATTGGAGAATTGTCATGAAACCAGGATTGATATCCGAACTGGAATGACTAATTTAATTCAAACTCATGAAATTTTCAATAATTGGGATTATTGGTTGATTGTTGTATTTGCCGCAAATTCCACTGAACTTTGTGTGCCAGTTATTAGGTGTGATTTGGATTCACCTGATTAACGAAAACGATTATGAGACCCTTATTATCGATTCATGTAAAAAAATTTACCTAATCGAGCAACCCGTGAGATAAGCGCCCCTTACGCTGTTTGAACAGAACAAAAAATATATCCCGATTACGAACTGCCAATAAATTGCTTTCTGTTTGGTTCTCATCTTTATTGATGCAGAGCCCTTCAGTTTCCTTTGATCTGAAATGGGTAAGCACAGTGACAGTTGATGTTGAATTTGTTTCCAGTTTGTTAAAAAATCATCAATATCTGTCTTGAACGTTTACGAAAAGAAAAGGGATATGATCTGTAATGGAATAAATTCGGTTCGAAGGTAGACTTGAAAGTGAAATTATTAACAGTGCTTCCCACACTCGTATAAATTCAGTAGACAGGGCTGAGTCACAAACCAAAGTAGAACAAAAACGGTGGCCAAACGAACACATCCGCCTTCTTAACATGCATCCTCAAAATCGATTCCTCTATTTTCGATTATAATCAACCTTGAGCCCTATATCAGTGTTCAAATGACACCACGTACATATATATATATATAAATATATATATATATATATATATATATATATATATATGAAACTAACGGAGTGGGAATTGACCCTCTTCATAGAAAGACCAAAAAATGAACCAACACTGTGATTTATCTTAGTTATTCATGTCTGAGTCACCGCTAACCCGAAGAAGAAGAACGAGGCCGTATGTGCGACCGCTCATATTGAGTGTTAGTAGTATACATATATGTATGGAGAAAATTCCCTCGGAAGGATACGACTGGTTTCGCGGTTGTTCCTGCTCATCATGTATGTGTACCCGGCACTATTCTGCCCTCTCATCTTCATACTCTTACACTCGGATATCTACACGGTTACATACAACTCACCATCAAAATATATATACACGAGTAAAATCGACACAGCAACTAAGTAATTGTCTGGATGTACTGAAACAGCGATAATATAAACGCTTTCGATCAATCCTCTCTCATTTTCATTACATTTGGTTCGATTGGTTTGTCAATGTAGGTCCGTTTCCGGAATTTCGTCGTATATTCAGAGAAGAGGAATTATTGTGTCACAGCAATTGCCCGATTCCTCCCAGCCGTATTTTGCTCAGTCTCCCTCATGAAATTACGCACATTTAGTCATGGACTAATGGGATGTACACTATTTGCAGTTCAAGGCTAGTTGGTCCGATTGCTTGCTGTTAGTTTTGTCTGTCTATACCCAATGAACAATTAGAAGTTGGTGATATAGCACGAAGCGCGCCACTGGTCATAATAAGAATTGTTTCTTCTGATCCGACGTTGGTCAGTCAACATATTTTTGTTGATCTGAAATGGTCAACTAAACTTAACTACAGCGAGTTGAGTTCAATGTATCCGAAATGATTCAAAGAGACCGGTACCAGTCCAGATTTAAGTCAACTTATCCGATTCCTAATTTTGTTTATATGAACTCAACTAAACAAAGCAAAGCGGAAGAGAACTGAACTGGGGTGAATAGAGGAGAACTCGTATTGTTGACACTGGAAGTAACTAATCTAGTGTCCAATCCAAAGCAGGCCTGATATGAATGAAATAGGTATAATCAGGTACAATTTGTCTATTTTATTCACGAAAGCGAACGTTTACTGATGCACGTACAACTCCGGCCAATTTCAATATGCCTTTGTTTGTCCATGGATCTGGTCAGTTTGGTGGTCAACTAAAAACTTAACACACGCGGGAATAGACTGATACTAATTGCATATATTTCATCTACGCTGTCAAGAAAACAGGTTCGGGCAGCATGAGCGCGTCAGCTGAGACCAGAACTAAATCCACAACAACATCCACAATACCCACAAAACGTGAGATCGCTTATTACACCAATGTTGGGATATATATCTGTCAAATCTATCCACATGTATTCGTCCGTGTATCGTCAGAAATACTTGAAGAATTATGTTTGTATATACAATGCCATATTCATTTGCTACTAGGTGAACCTAACACAAGTGAGTCTTCTTATATGCCTACTTTGCAGACAGTACATTAATTCCATGTATTCTGTGATATCTTCTGTTCATTATTTAGAATTTGAATACAAAAGTACTAACGGTTATTTGTTTCGGCGACTGCAGTTCATCAGCAGATGGTCCAATGCGACCTCTGGTTCACACAACTGGCTGGATTGATCATTCATTGCAGGAGCTGCCTTATTTCGATCGCTCGATGTAATTAGTTCAAAGAAGATTCAGCGGATGCAACCTCTATAAGTCACCGGAAGACAAGCGAATTGATGTTCTCATCTCAGCTCACCATAATCCCCTAAATAAACACACTGGAACTCAGCGTTCTCTAACCCGGATTATTCACACAGATAGATGATATTATTGCTTCGAATCATCTAATTGCATCAGACCACAAAGTTTACTTGATGTCCTTCTTTGAGGTTATGTGACACAGTAGTGTTATCAACTTTTAATGTGAAAAACCCAAAAGCCTTCCAAATTTGCCAGTAACTGTGATACGATAAGTGACACAGTGAACATACAAGGACGAATATCGTATTCTTTTCCAGTGTCAACTGCGGATTATTTGGGTAACCCATACTTTGACAATAGATCACTCTGCCATAGAGCTGCTAAATATAGTTACCCGAGCGTAACATACAATTCAATTTCTATTTCAAATACAAACTAACGTCACTAGTGTTTGAAATCAAGAACAAGAATTGCAGAAATATCTGAACACGTGATTCTCCACGGTTCGAACGATAGATTACAAATTCAGAAGGCTTTCTTATGGACTAGTTCATGTGATCCACGTTGTTGTTTACAATTTCACTAAGCCAATTGCGACAGCCATCAGAAGAACTCACCATAGCAGTAGACAGCTTGCTTAAGATTTCGTCAGAATCAGAATGTAAATTACTATCAATAGAATGATCCAATAAACGACCAGAAACACTTAAGCTTAGATATAAAAAAATGTATCACGTTTCAATCAGTGACAAAACGTAATTTTAGTGTAAGAGTGATGCAGTGGGAGTGACCAATTTGATAGCATATTTAGCACACTGTGTGGAATGTAAATGACGGTTCCGATTGAGAAGCTTGATGCTGACATCTCCGAAGTAATTGCCAATTTTGGAAAGTCAAGTGGGTGTTTGCAGTCAACGGAATCGAAGGATATATAAGCAAACGATGAAGAACAGAAGACTGCATTGCTTCATCGAGTTCAATAATTACAAACCGATTGGGGTAACGGAGTGAATATGCGAACTGTTACCATATTATTACTGGTGGTCATCTGTTTGCGCGGAATGAGTGAGTGCTGAAGTGATTTGGATGACATGATATTATTGAGTTCTGTCTTAAATGCAAGTGCTTCACGACGCGTACTTTTTCTGAAGCAAAATACACTTTGCACATCATGAGATACAAAAATCCCGATTCAGGTGACACAGCAAAAATAATCTGAAGAAACCGAAGAACATGGGAAATGATAATATTTTGAGCTGAGCTGTCGAAGTAAAATACTGTCAAGTACAGAAGGCAAACAGTGAGGGGTCGTAAGAATAGCGTGGACAATAGAGCTGCACTGCAAACCAGTTAGACAACAATGTAGCCCAAAATTTGCTTGCACTGATTCAAACTGACGCGGTGTGTGCAAATGTAAAAATATCATAGATAATGCTATCCTCTTCACTTTCGTTTAATTTCGTACGATATCATCAAATGATTCCTGATGTTTTCAATCATATTTAAATTGATTAGGATGATATCACATTCTGTGGACATGAGTGGTTAACTAGAAATATTGTACCACACGAGGGTGAAATGTCCGAGATGAATGTCAGTATGAAAGGCACAAGATTACGCGAGCATACCTCCATTTTTGACAATTAAACAGATACGCAAGAGACCGAAGCCAATGCAGAACAATCAACGGTGACCACAATAACTTCGGAGTCTAATAAACAAACTTCTCCACAAAGTAAGCTCATATTGTTCACCTATGCCTCTATTTCTCTATAATACAATATATGCAACTAATCAGCATTCCAATTGTTCGAACACTCTCGTCCACCGATGTGTACTATCTATTTTTATCCACTCTCCTAAACGAAATAGGCACAGGCAGCACGGGTGCTGCATCAGTTCCCGGCACTATATCCACCCCCGCATCCACAGTGTCCACACAAAGTGAGTTCACTGTTTTCTACCAGTGCTCTTTTAAATCATCATTGTCAGAGTGCATTTAAAATGCCCACGAAACATGATATTGCCAAATTCCTGAAGCATATTTGCACATCTATTTTTGTATTGTTTCCTTAACAGGAGCATCTACCACTGGTGAGTTCCTCATTGTGTTTCCTCGGTGTTCTCAATGCTATGAATTCCTCTGCACATTTCGCTTATTGTCACCAAATTTGAATGCAAAGTTACTCAGGGTTATTTGTTTCGTTTAATTCTGTTTGTCCGCAGGTGGTTCAATGCGACTTCTGGTTCACGCAACTGGCTGGATTCTACCACTTATCACCGGGACTGCCCTCTTTTGATCGCCCGCTCTCATGAGTCCAAAGCGGATTCAGCAGATGCAATCTCCAAACACCACCGAAAGCCGAACACGTTGTTGTTCTCATCTCAGCTTACCATGATTCCACAAGTAAACACTTACTGAAATTCAGCGTTTTCTAATCCAAACTATCTACACTTGGATGGGGCACATTGACAAACTGCAGTGGAACGTATTTCTGTCCCATTGATGTCATGTAGGAGTGGGTTTACGAGACGGATTAACGTTCTATCGGTTATATGGGTGGCATTTATTGGTCGGAAACGTCAGTGGTCATGAACACCCTTATCAGTTATACCAAATAAAATGTACCCTGGATACTTTCGCAAACAAATATTTTGATACTGACCACTGGTTTGCTCGCAAATCAGTTCATCATTTCGGTACTTGTATATTCTGCGCAAAGCTCTCATGGATATACGTGTCTTGATGTGCTGATTCAAAACAATGAATTATGTGGTTCTTCGTTTTGCCTAATTATTCCCGCTGGAATATTGAGGTTCTTTCTTCTCTTTCCAACACATGCACGTTTACTGGTCAATATTGAATTGACATCCACTGGCAAAGAAATTTAGTAATGAACATGCTCCATGAAAATCCAATTAGAATATCACGTTGTGATTAGACTAAAGCGCTTAACCGAAAGCAGATTTTCAAACCACAGAAGGTAGCTCTGCATTGTAACGGTTGAATATTCGTTCGGGGTTGAGTGCAATCCAAAGTTTGAAATGCAGCAACAGAACATCCTCGATCTCCCACCCAAAGCATAATTGCGAATGAACATCGAAGTGCAATGGTCCTCATCATTCAAATTGGAGAAATTCAAAATGTCGTAAAATAAATAAACATTCCTAACTGTGTGTGCATCACAAAGTGCATTGTGCAGGCTAAACCCGTTGTGTGTTGACATCTCGCATCACTGGGAATTCTGCGAAATGACTGCTTCGCTAGATATAGACTCGAATATATTGAGTTCAGTGAGTGGATTATTCCGCAAATCACACGTTTGTACCTGTGGACACATGCTTCGTGCCAGGCCATTCTCCAGTTCACAAGTAGTTCACTTACTGTATATCCATCCCGGTTGAAGCAGCCCAGCGTGCTTGCCTGGAAACAACAAACCGGGGTGTGGTGTAGGCGTGTGCTTTGGGCTAGTTAATATGTATCTATAGATTTTTGCCCACACATTGGAGCAGACGCGTGTATACCATTGATCTGAACCGAAAATAAGAACGATAATTTCGGCGATTTCTAGGTCCCCTCTGTACCACCGCTGTCCATTGTCGGAACCGAAATTTATTCACACAAATGGAGAGGTTGCCCCATCGGTAACAGACGCAACTTGTGAATCACATGGATTCGTTCGGTGCATTAGTCAGACAGTAGGGGAGAGCGAGTCGGGGTTATCACAGATGATTCACAATTTCACATGATGCAAGATCAAACATATCGAATATCTTGAAAAACCTATCCTTCTGGTGTTATCTGTTTGAAACCAAGTTCTGTTCTGTTTTAAATCCGATGCACCAAACATTGCCTCTGTTTTCGTGCCATTGAATGCAATGAACATTCGTCGTTCGTCGTTTGCCCCGCAATATGTAATTCCATTTTTTCGGAGCAGAGCCAGCGGTCGATAACTATATGCAACCAGGATGAGTAATCATATAGGGTTGATAGCGATGCCGTCCATTGGGGTTAGTTATATAAATCAAACCTCGCAATCACATTGGATTGGGTTAAAGACCCCAATGGAATTGCACTGCAGTCATCAAATTACTCAAGTGACAACAAAGGAAAAAGATGTGTACAATGTCGCTGAAAGGATGGAAAACGCCAATACATATGTAATCTAACAAATATTTCTTTGACGAGAACTCATTGCCTATGTATCACATATGCCATTTCGGGAGTTCCATGAATCATTTCAAACTTGTTTTCTATCCGAATGCAGTATCGAAAAGTCTCTCTCAGTGTAGGCAAAGTTCGGCAATTGCAATCAATAAAGAAATTTCTATAGGAATCAGCCTCACTGTCTGAAAAGACGGACGTCAGTCATTTGATGGATGATAAGAATGTGAAATTAGCTGGTGCCATCAGATTTCTCGATTTGTATACACGTGATTTAATAATAGCCTCGATGCGTTATTCTTCGGTCATTCCCACTATATTCAACTTCACATGGTTCATTTATCAATAATGCTTCTTATCTCAATTTCGGGAGTAGTTGTGCCAAAACAATCGCACGATTCCTCTGTCATACATTCGAACCAAATTGTGTCACCACTTCAGACACACGTGATTGCGTACTGGTATTGTCCCCTCGGAATCAGATTTGCAGTTCACCACAGTTCAACATCTAACTACACAAAAGTGGACAGATCTGAACTGGAATAAACTGATTCGCGGTGAATTGATCTGTACATTGCTGAAATGAATCATATCAATTCAAATAGAGGGTACTGAACTGATATGGGCTCAAAAGAAATGATGAGGCCGCATTTTGATTACAACTCTGTGGAATACTGTAGTGGGCTAGTCTCATTTGAATGAAACCAATATACTGCCAGCTGGGATAGCCCTATTTTTCCGTGACCACAAACCTTATTTGTTCATTGACTCGAACTAAAAAGTGAGCTCCTGATTTCAAAACATTTTCGGTTGTTTCTTGTAGTCATTTTTCAGGTGTATCAGAATGTGTTCTACAAACGTAGAACAAGGAATCGCTCATGCATTTGATCGTTGTATTCAGCAGAGTATAGAGGTAATAATTATTCTGTGTAACTCTCCACCGCAATTTCTCCAAACCGACACTATATGCTTTACCACAGAAAATCGCTTATCCGACTCATCTCGTTCATGTGAAGAAGAAACAATCTCTCTCCACTTAAGATGAATGTGGTCATTGCATGATCACATTCTTGAGTTGTAGTTTCCGCCTGCAATGATGTTCTCCTTTCTGCTTGAATTCACGAGGAATGCGTAGTTGATTTTCGCTATGCACGTTTGATTTTTTAATGTTTGGTCGAGAATTTCTCGCGAAAATTGGTCATACGATATTTAGTCAATTCAAGACTTATTGTTTTCATCGTCATATGAAGACAAATGTTCCCGACACCGAACTATTTATCGGCGACTGAGTCTACATCCATCTACGAGCAGAATTGGCTGTGGCTGAGGAGGTGAGGTCTAACAAGAGCTAAGCTTGAGTCTAATACTTCCGAGTAAAGGTTGGTCGGATAAGCTGATTTTCATGCGTGAGTTGGGCAGTCTAAAATACAGCCAACCAATAAAGTAATCAACTCCACACAACAATTTCTAATTTTTGCGATACTTACATGAGTTCAAGATATTCGTTTTTAACTTCCCGTTAGAAGAAAAATGTGTTTATTCAAGTCAGATAACACATTTCCCGATAGCTGATCCTTACAATTAAAATTCGACTTCCTAAAGCATATTGAATAGTTGTGCCACGTTTTGTTCATAGTTCACGGATGAGTGAAAAATACATATTTTGAAAATCCCTTTATAATGCTAGTGTTTCACGTGTGCAACTGAACATACCCTTTTCGTTTCCTCTTTTTCATTAGTAGTGGCGTCAATTTTGGACTAATTCGTTCTAGTTATTGACATATATGCAGCTTCTGAAGAATTTGATTTACTCCATATTCAGAACATAATTTCAAGGCTTTTCATTGATAACGTTTTTTAATTTAGTGTTTCCTAATGCCAGTGGTGAGACATTGACAGTGATTGATGATATACATTCAACCAGGGAATGTGATTTGTTTAGCAGGTCAATTACGACACCCAAAACGATTGATCGGTTGAGAGAGGATATTTCGGTAAAGGCTATGTTGGAAACCGACAGTTGCTGATCACTGGTCTCGAATGGTGGTTGGACGCCCATAGTCCAGAGACATGTGGAAACGCGTGATTTTGAATTCTTGGTTTGAAGAAACACGGGGATCTGTCAGTTGGTTGAACAATTCCTCAAGTGATGGCAAAACAGACATGATGAGTGTTGGCTGACTGCCAAGAGCTCGCAGATCGCTTCGTATTCTGAGAGTATCGTCCCTTTTCATCAAACTCACCGTTGAAAAATAGCATGCGGAATAATCAACGGGTTAGATTGAAATTGACGCTACCATTCGTTGACAAATATATGATACAGACTGACTTCGCGCTAGTGCCATAAATCAGGGTTGGGTAATGGCGAATGACTTTGCATTCAGCTTCGAGCTTGTGGACACTGAATCCCTCAATGACACTGGGATTTCTATTACCAAAATGGGCTCGATTCGACTAAATTGATTCATGAGAGTAGATACTCAAGGTGCGAGTGGACAGCAAGATTACCTTACTATTCATGAGTGAGATAAAGCGAATGCGGGAAGCCCTAGGAACGGAGATTAATACACAGGAAATCACGTGAGATATTCAAGAGAAAGACGTTGCTAACTTTCTTTTTATTAGAATTGAATAATGTGGGCTAGGTGAAGCAAATTGTTTTCAATCATTGCAGTATATTCTGGCAAAAACATTTCAATTTCAATGACGACTATGTATTCTACGCTGTGAGGAATCAGCTGAATTTTGAAGAGATTTGAAGGAAGAAAATTAGGTAGCAGAAATCAGGATTAGGTAATGTTATGGCGACTTGTTTTGTCGAAAACTCTCAATTTTACATCACTTGCATGGGAACCTATGAGGACTAAGACTGAGCAATTCAAAGCAATTCGCTATATAGTGCTGTTTCACGTTTTCTCGATCAAATCTATAATTAGACTTAAAATGGAGTTATGAGATGGCAGGTGAGCTGCACGCAGCATTCTGGAAGTTGGATCTGCATGTACGTGCGCCCCATGAGTGGCTTCGCTTCAATTCGATTCCGATTTCCTCGGGATTATTTTCAATAAATGTCTCCTACCGCAGTGATTTACCTGCAAACATATTCATATAAATTCGTGATATCAACGAAACGCC